CAGGGGACATGAGCTTTTGTTTTGTTCTCTACATTTGCATAGGGTTGGGTAGAGTTGAAAGCTCAGTCCATCTTTATGAGTGACAGATTAAAACGCCAGAGTTTCCTGCCCGCCTGAGTCAGTCAAGTTGGACACACCTGGAATCTTTCTGACTTAGATTTGCAGATGTCTCCTCTTGACGTTGAACCCTGCAGACAAAGAGAGAGGAGATGCGGGAGATTGGGTCACCCAGGAAGATTCTTGCGTCCTGTGAATCACGTGACAGGTTTATTTCACTAGAGTCTGGATAGAGTATTGCTAAAGTCTTCTCACTTCACTTTGCTCCACCTCCACCCCTGCCAAACACCCTCTCCACCCCTGCCAAACACCCTCTCCACCCCTGCCAAACACCCTCTCAATTACCGATTAGTTCCCCAGACATGGGGTCACATAGATGGGAAGCAGCATTCCGGGCATCTTTCCAACACAATGCAATCCATGGCCCGTGTGGTTTATTGAAAACACACAGGCTGGCTCGTTCACTGACCACTTCCCCTCCTCCTCAAATTGAAAAGGCAGCAGCAACTTGGGGAGCTAAGTTTATGGATACTTTAGGTGCCTGTTAATTGGTGTCTATGTGCTAAGGAGCCTGATGAGCCTAGGGATGAGCTGAAAATCCCAAACAGGCAAGAGACATATTAACTAGAACTCTCTAGAACTCTGCTCCAGTCTCTGGGCTCCTAACCTCCCACAGAGGAGGGCCGTGCTGTCTTTTGTCGTTTCCCACCTCTGCCCATCGAGACAGCCAGCAGCACACTATGGGCTGAGTTACATTTCAGATTCCTCCCATCTTGCATATCTAAATCAGGAGGAGGTTAGAAGACTAGTGTGGGATGAAAGAAGGGAGGGACCCAGAGAAAGGACACAGAAGAGATAATGTGTCCACTGGACACGAGTGAGTCCCTGGCTATCAAATATAAAGAGCACCTGAGTCTATGGCCATGCAAATTCTGGAAACTAATAGCAAAGAGATAGATGACGCCCAGCCCACCCCTCTGAGATGGGTGGCAGTGTGTGCTGTGATGTGAATATGGTTTGTCTCCTCCCAAACTCAGAGTGAAACAGGATGACCACCGTGGTGCTGGGAGGCGATGCCTTCAGGGAGCGATTAGGTCTTTTAGAGAGATCAATGCCTTTCTCACTGGGTTGATGCTCCTCTCAGTAGAGAGTTCCCTATCTTGTAGGACTGGTTTCAGTCACTGTGAGAACAGTCATTACAGAACAAGGTTGCCTCTTGTGTTTGGAGCTTTTCACAAACATCCACTTGCCCTTCTGGCTTCTGTCAGGTTATGAAGCAGCATGGGGCCCTCACCAGTGTGGCCAACTGATGTTGGGTTCCCAGGAGCCAAAATAAATGTCTTTCCTTTTTAAATTACCCAGTCTCAGATATTGCATTGTAACAACAGGAAGTGGACTACATGCATTTGTGTCTTTGGGATGCAGAGAACTGAAGATCCTGATAAAAACTAAGTCATGGATAAAGACTTAGGCATCACTAGGTTGAAGCCTAGTGGGGTCAACCTCCCCCCGCCCCGTGCTTCTTATCTGTAGTGGCTATTATAATCCAGGGGAACTTGTTGGATATCTACATTGGGTGAGTGAATTTGGTAATCTCCCTCACATTTGAGAGATGGAACAAAGTTTTCTAACCTGTTAGACAGACAGGAATGCAGAGGTCACCATCAGCTACCAGGACCACCAGGCAGAGCTTGGTCTCTCCCTTTCTTTGCTATGCACCAATCCAAACTCAAGCTATGCTGTTCCACATTTTACCCATCTCCTCCTCAAGGTCTGTCTGCTCCCTCGGGTGTTCAGAGTCCTTGGAAAGCTGTCAGCACTTATGTTCAGTCATGGACATAGACTTCTCATCTCCACCAGAAGGAAAGTTCCTACGGATAGGTGTCTGTGGTCTATACCTGGCCTAGCACATACTGGGCACACAATGGCCACTCTATACTCATTACCTACTTTTTTTTTTGGGGGGGGGACAATATTAGGGAAAAGTAAATAAACTGTAGCTAATTAATAAAAAAATTCTTTTCTGTATGAAAATAGCAAATTGGCGCTTTGCTTCTCAGAGCATTGTGACATACTGATATGTGATTCTAAAGTAAATAGTTTGTGCCAGGATAGTTGGACCTGGGATGGCTCATACCTAGGGTGGCATGGGGTATGTGCTGATTCCAATGAGACCACCATCGATGGCATCTAGAACTCCTACAGAAAGCCTCCAGGAACCTCAGCCCTTCACTGCAGACAGGGCACATTTTTTGAGCACACATCTTCTGTTTGGGTCCCCACCGGGCTTGACACTAAGCATATGGACTATTTGTAAACAAGTTCAAAGGACAAAGATATGCCTTGTAGAGAATCTTTGCGAGAGGGCAAAATCCTGGAAATATCTGGCACGTGGTAGGTCTCACCGAATATGCAGGATCTCAAAGCTGTTCTTACTCAAGAATTCCAGAATGTTTAGAGAAGGAAAGGCATTAGTATAACCAACGCAAATGTTGTTTTCGTGTGTTTGAATTGGAAAGTCTGTGAGATTACTTCTCAGYGGAATCACAAGTCACTGCCTAAAAAGACAGATAGGCAGTTTCAGAGACAAAAGCCAGCCAGGCTTTAGGAGTGGCGAGACTCCCATCCCTCAGTCCAAGGAGACCGGCTTCTACTGCCAAATCTTCTAATTTTCACAAGAGGGGCTAGAAGCTCAGATTTTTATGTGAAATTTCCAGATATTTAAAATACCCTGGGGGTGCTTTTTTATGGCCACCCCTACATTAACCAGGAGTCACCTACTCATTCATGACGGCAGCTAATTAATAAAAAAAAAATTCTTTTCTGTATGAAAATAGCAAATTTGCGCTTTGCTTCTCAGAGCACTGTGACATACTGATATGTGATTCTAAAGTAAATAGTTTGTGCCAGGATGGTTGGACCTGCATTCATGCCCCACCCCCCACCTGCCTTACAGCAAAAGAGGCTTCCCATCTAGCATCCAGCCCTCATCTGTATCCAGGTCCCATCTTCCTCCACCTGCTCTTGGACCTGGCTTTTGTGACCTGCCACTGCATTCTGAGTTTGCCCCAGCCACCGATGCTGTTCTCACCTTCTGCCAATGATCACCTGGACGTGAATCCCAGGAATCAGATGTCCTAACTCCTGTGACCTCTCCACAGTTGTCCTGCTTCCTGCATCCTGACGCTCTTTCCTTGGCTCCTTCGTTGTCCCCTCTCAGGGTCTTCCTTTCTATTCTCTGACACCCTCCAAGTTCCCAATCTTCTTTATAGGATTCTCTCAATGTCATCCCCTAATCCTGATGTTCCAAAGGGTTCTGATCCAGGCCTCCTCTTTTTCACTTCACATTGAATTCTTTGAGGAGCTCACCCATACCCCCACAATTTTCAAAACACATGGATGGTTCTCAGGCCCACCTGTCTCCATTCCAGCCCTCTCCTACCCTCAGCGACTGTATGATCTATTTCTAATGGGTCACACCAATTCAGCAGGTGCAAGATTGGTCACCCAGCATGCTGCTCCTCCTCCTGGGTAACCCTTCATGAGGGCAAGTCACTGTCATCTACTTAGTTCCTCAAGCAGAAATCAGGCCAACCTCACCAATGTCCCCACTCCTCCTCAAGAAGTCTTGTACCATCTGCCTATTAAGTATCTCCTGAAATCATCACTTCTCCATCCCGTCTGACAAAATCATGGTCCAAGGTCACCACTACCTGGCACTGGGACAAGTGAAGTGCAGGCCTCCAGACTCACCCTTCAGCCCCAATCCTTTCATGTGAACATGGCCACATCCCTGCCCTGCCTAAACCCTGCTGTGGTCCCCCATTCTGCTGGATAGATTCTAGGCTCCTGCACATCCACTAAAGGCCTTTCTAGCTCTCAGGCACCTCTCTGGCCTCTCATCCCCTCCAGCCATGCTGGACCTTGCTTGACTTCCCACATACTATCCTCTCCCACGTGCACCTGGCTCCACCTCCTGCTTCCCATGCCTTCTTCACACCTCACTTCAGCAGCACCCTCACCCATCCAACCTCCCTTGACTTCTCCTAGACCTTTAGATGTCCTTACTATGCACTCCAAAAGCCTCTGTGTGTACCCTGCGATGGCACTTACATTGACTGTGAGCTCTGTGAGGACAGGGTCCCTGCTCTCTTGCTGCACGTTGTTCCCGGTGCCTAGTGCCATGGTTGGAACACAATGAGCACCCATTAAATGTTTGCTAGGGTTATTTTTTGGCACTAGTGATGTTGAACCAGGAAGGGTCTCAGCCCTTGTCAATATCAATTCTCATTTTAATGAGAAAGCCAAGGTCCAGAGGAATAAACGCAGGGCTCCAAGTCCCCTGTGACACACAGGAGCAGTCAAACCTAAGACTACTCATTCCTAAATCCAGTGCCCCATTCCCCTGCCCTTCCCCTCCACACCAGCCAGCCCCAGCTCACACAGCTGCCTGGGCTGGGCAGATGCAGTTGGGGAGGCTCCTGAGCAGGTGCCCCTCACCAGGAGAGCACCTGGTGGAGAGTGTGCAGCCTTCATTCACTACTTCCTCACTGCCCAGGCCGGCCACAGGTGAGGCTACTGTTGGGAAGCCCTTGGTCTCTAGGGAATGACCAAGGGCAAGGGGCCCCTCTCTGCCTTCCCTTCAGCCCTAGTCTTCAGTTCCTGGCATGTGGAGAATGGAATGTGCTGTAAGATCTTGTTCTGCCAAATTTCTGAACTAGAAGCAAGAACCAGGGTAGCATATAACATTTGATCTGGAAAAGCCAATTAACGGCAGGGGGCTAAATTCAACCCATCCCCTGACAAAAAGGGAAGAGGCTTTTCCTGTGCATGGAGGTGGGGAGGGGATGGAGGAGTCAGGCTTGCCTTCCCCAGCTCAGGTAACAGACCCAGGACTGCAGATTAGAACTTTAATACCACTTGAAGTACACAGATTCTTTCGTTCTGGGTAGAGGTTCTCCACCCAGCCGGCTCTTGACCATTCCTGACCCAGGAAACGTCTGCTTTCCCACATGAGTCGCAGGGGTTCTCTCTGCACTATCTGTGTCATGAACGCCAAAGCTGGGTAGGCTTTGCGGACATCTCCCTACGCTGAAGATAGGACGGTGGCCAAAGGAGTGCAGGCCTCCGGCAGCAGCCCAGGCCCTCTGGCGCACAATTCTCTGGAAYCTGTGAGCAAAGGAAGGATCCCAGTGAGAACTGGGCTCAGAAGAAGAGCGGGGGCGGTGCCACCTCTGTAGGAGCCGGCCAGGCTGGGGCGGAGAGGTCGGTCTCTGAGGCCTGGTGCACCACTTCGCCGTGGATGCGCTGGTGCCGCACCAGGTGGGTCTTACGGCTGAAGCTCTTGCCACACTGAGGGCAGGAGAAAGGGCGGGAGCCGGTGTGGATCGCTTGGTGGCGGACCAGGTTGGTTTTGGAGCTGAAGCTGCGGGCGCAGATGGCGCAGGCGTGGGGGCGACTGCCCGTGTGCACCGCCTGGTGACGGCCCAGGTGCGACTTGCGGCTGAAGCGGCGGCCACACTGAGCACAGGCGAAAGGCCTGGCGCCGCTGTGGGCCCTGGAGTGGGCGACAAGATTGGGCCGCGAGCCAAAGCGGCGACCGCACTGCGCGCAGGCGAAGGGCCGTTCGCCCGTGTGCACGCGCCGGTGCCGAGCCAGGTGCTGTCCGTGGGCGAAGCCGCGCCCGCAGTCAGGGCAGAAGAAAGACCTTTCGCCCGAGGGGGTGCGCTGGGGCGTCACTGTGCCCGACGCAGGGCCGCAACTTGGCCCACAACTTGGCCCACGGGGCACGCAGGCTAAGGGTTCGGCAGCAGCGGGGTCCACGGTGGCTCCCAGTGCGCCATCGTCGCACCCAAAGGAGCGACCTTCGCTGCGGTGCAGACGCTGGTGTGAGGCGAGGTTCTTTTTCCAGCCGAAGCTCAGGCCACAGTCAGAGCAGGAGAAAGGTTTCGGTCCAGGAGGGGACGGGGTGGAGGACTCGGCGGGGGAATGCGGCGAAGAAGGCGCGTCGGGAGAGGGCTGGGCTCGACTAGCTGCTTCGTGCACCCTTTGGTGCCGCACCAAGTGCTGCTTGTGCGTGAAGCTGCGTGCGCACTGCGTGCACTGATAGGGCCTCTCGCCGGTGTGGATGCGCTGGTGCCGGATCAAGTGCGTCTTCTTGCGAAAGCGCTTCTCACACTCAGTGCAGGGGAAGGGCCGCTCGCCTGTGTGGGTCTTCTGGTGCGAACCCAGGTGTATCTTTTGGCTGAAGCGCTTGCCGCACTCGGCGCACGGGTAGGGTCGCTCGCCCGTGTGTGTGCGCAGGTGGCGGGTCAGGTGGGCCTTCTTGCTGAAGCGCTTGTCGCACTCGGAACACGGGAAAGGCCTTTCCCCGCGGTGGCTGCGTTGATGCAGCAGCATGTGGGCGCGCTGAGTGAAGCTGCGGCCGCAGTCCGGGCAGGCGCAGGGGCCCTCGCCCCGGTGCAGCCTTTGGTGCAGCCGCAACGTCAGCTGGTCCCGGAAGCGCCGCTCGCACTCCCCGCAACCATATGGCTTCTCCGGGATCGGGGCCCACCCGGACAGCGCGATCCCGCCTAATGCCCCCGTGGCCCCTGGCTCCAGTTTGTATGCAGCAGCCAGATGTCCCAGTTCAGGCGCTGGGAAAGGGCTGGGAAGTAACGAGAGATGCTGGGGCCATTCGACAGCCTCTCCTGCCTCCTGTTCCTCATCCTCCACCTTCACCTTCCGAATCATCCATTCGTCTCCTGAATAGTCAAAACAAGAATTGTCTAGTAAGCTCAACGCCAGTAGTACTGCCTCTCAGGAGCCCAGCAATCTGGCTTCTGTTCTCTCCACTCTACCCAAAAAGTTCCCGGGAATGACCAAATCCCAAACTCTTCTCATTCTCCTCCAGCTCTGCAGCCTGCCATGCTGATGAACACCTGCCCCCTTCCGTGACTTCTCCCAGGCTCTGGGTGGCTGCCCCAGATCTTGCTGTCCAGCAAGCTCCTTTCTGGAACCGTGTCTCTAGTTGAGTAGCTCCCCTGGGTGTCCCCAAAATCGGCTGCAGCTCTGCAGGTTTGTTGCCAAACACCTGACCTTCCCACACCTATCCTTGGCTGATGTTAACATTAGAACACTATATCTTCTCCCAAAAGGAGACCTTTGGGAACTTGACACCTCCTGCTCTCTACCTTTGTCTGGCCACAGAGTACCAGGGCACCCTAAAAGTCAGTTCCTTCATCTCAAATGCTCCCCCTGCTGCTCCCTTCAGCCAAGGGGGGAATCCCAGTTGATGAGGAGGCGGCTGAAGTTTATAGGACCTGGGTAATTGGTGAATGTTGTCAGCCTCTCCAGAAGCAGGGAGGGCCCTGGGGAGAGCCTTGGCCCAAAGGCAGGATTGAGTTCCTGAGGAACTCTCATAAATGCATCTGTAGGAGAAGGGCCCATGGATCTGTTCTCTCTCTTTAAAGCCCCCAGAAGATCCCCAGTTCTGCTGGAGAACCATTGGACCAAATGATCTGAATTCCTCTCTGGCCCTTAAAGTCCTTCACAGCCCAAGCCTTGGTTACATTACACAGGGACTGCTACAAGTACATCTACTCCCAGTTTCTTCCATTAATCTATTGTTTCCAAACAACTGTCTATTGATCATACTGTGATATGCCTCACATTTTCATTGTGTCACTCTTCTATTCAAGAACCATCAATAGGTCATTTTTCCCCCCCAGGATTTAGCCAGTTGTAGGTGCATCTGAGGCTCACCCAGATCTACTCCAACTTTCTTCTTTTAGGTGAGAATGCTTCATTTCCACCACACTGCTCTCCTTCAACCCCAGTTACATGTCACCTTTTCTGCTTCAAAGTCCTTTCTCAGTCTAGACTGTCTCTCCATTCTGCACCCCAGCCAGCTTCTGAGCTGAAGTCTATGCCTCTCTCAAGATGCATCACAAAGCAACATTTTTGACAGATCCAGTCAAAATAAGGATCTCTCACCCTAAACTTCAATAGCACTGACACTTCTTATTTGCAACTCTTATATTGGTTCTTTTAATCTTTCATCTTGGTTAACACTGATGCCATCTCAATTACATGTTAGCTTCTGGAAGGGTAGATACATTGTATTATAAATGTATAATAAAATGAGCATTGCCATCATTTATGGAGGGCCAACTATAGATGAAACACTAGCCATACACCATTATAAACCTCACAACAACCATGAAGTTATTGTTATCCTTGTTTACAGATGAACAGATCACAAGGTCCTGGAGAGGGGGTAGTCCATCCTAGAGTGCTCAGTGGGTAAGTATGTCTGTACACCTCTAGGGCCTATCTCTTCCTACCACACTCAGCACAGTCAGTGCATAGTAGGGACTAGATAAATCTTTGTTGAATAAATGTCACTGTTATTATTTATATGTGATATCCCCCAAAAGCTCATATATGAGACAATGCAAGAAGGTCTGGAGGAGAAATGATTGGGTTATATCTTAACCTAATCAGTGAATTAGTCTCTGATAGAATTAATTGAGTGGGTAACTGGAGGCAGGTAGGGTGTGGCTGGAGGAAGTAGTTCCTTGGGGACGGGCTATAGGGTATATATTTTGTATCTGGAGAGTGGAGTTTCTGTTTCCTGATCATCATGTAAGCTGCCTCCCTCTGCCAACTCTTCTGCCATGATGTTCTGCCTCATCTTGAGCCCTGAGGAATGGAACCTGCTGCTATGAATTGAGACCTCTGAAGCTGTGAGTCCCCAATAAACTTTTCATCCTCTGCAATTGTTCTGATCCTTTAGTCACAACAGCAAAAAAAAGCTGACTAAAACAGTCAACCAAGCAAGAGGTGATGAGGTAGTAGCAGGAGAAAGAAGTGATGGGTAGGTTTAGGTACGGGAGAGATGAGTTTACTATAATAGTCTTGGAGAACTTGGTAACAACAAGATCAGTGATGGTTTGGGGAGAAGAGAATGTAGGAGAGAGACAGTGGAAAAGTTGATCCACATCCTTTATCTTCATGGCAACTGTAATTCAGGTGATCAACAGCCTAAGATTAGGCCAGGGAAGATGAAGAGGGGAAGTTAGGACTTCTAGCAAGGTTTGAAACAAGGTATATTTCTCTTCGGTGATGAGCCTCTTCGGTTCCACAGTCTACAGGGTGTAATTCTTTTTAGGTGTCGGAGTTCTATAGCAGAAGGGGTCCAGGCTCTGAACTCTTCTTGACTGGAAGGGCCTGGAGTAGCTGTCTCTCAAGGGAATGGGGTTTGTGAGGCCTCTTGGTGGATGGAGCAACAGGAAGACTCACCTGAGCAGGAGCCCACCGGCTCAGCCTTCTGTGGAGTACATGCCTGTCCTTCTCTGCTGGGAGCCTCGGCTTGTTCTGTCTGGGCTCCTTCCTCTGGACCAGGGGCTTCATGCCCTGGGAGAGAAGAGGAAACCTCAAGGCCTCCAGAAGCATCACAGATGGATGAAGGTCCCCACTGCAGCTAGGAAGCAGGGACATCTGAAAACCCAGCCCATCCCCACCCACAGGACTCTGTCTCCCATCATACCTGCAGGGGCTGAATTCCCAGCTGCCCCCCGGGAAACCTCAGGCTCCTTTAAGCAGGGCAGCTGCTAAGGGTGGGCAGGTTGCAGGAGCCATAAGTGAGGAATTTCTGGAATATGTGTATGTGAGGTAGTGAAAGCAAGGAAGGGCCCCTGACCTGAGGCTTACCTGAGGCTCCTAACAGCAGGACTGTACTTCCCAGACCCCTGAGGGACCCCAGGTCCAAGGCAAATCATTGGTAAGGATCAGAATGTTGAAGCCAGGCCTGTTCCTGCCTTAGCACTCCATCCTGGCTGCCGATACCTGATATTCCCTTAGCCACCTCCCTAACCTCTTTCAAATCTTGCTCCAATTTTTTCTTCCCAGTGAGGCTTGTTCTTCACCCTCAGTGAAGGGGACCTTCAGTGAAGGGCCTCATCCCTACCTGTAGCCCTTCACTGTGCTTTATTCTCTCCTGCACAGCATTTATCTTCTAAGGTAGCTTATCGTTTCTCTTGCTTTTACATTTATTGTTAGTTGGTTCTGAACACTCTAGGATTAAGCTCTTTGAAGGTAGGGGTTATTGGTCCTGATGGTATTCTAAATTGTCTAGAATAGCAGTCACCATATAGTAGGTGCTTAACAATATGCGGTGAAAGGAAGGAAAATTCCTTCCTGAGACATCCTACATGGTCCCCATTTACATACCTGAGCTTGTACCCAGTGCTCTCTCTTCACTGGAGGAGGACATCTGCCCCTGGACATTATGAGACCTGTCCTTGGGCTCACTTTGGGGGGCCATCTCTGGCTGTCCCACAGAGAATCCTATTACAGATAGAAGAATGGTTCCAAGTAAACCATACTGTACAGAACTGATGATCAGAAGTGGGGCCCTCCCCTTCCTAGCCTGCTCAAGGATAGGGCTTCCCAATAATAGTGATAAGAGACAACAGCCCAGGCTCCCCAGCAGTCTGACCAGGTATCAATCTCAGCTCCTTTGAGATTAATCAAAGATAGAAGGAAGAAACAGAATAGCTTTAGAGAGAATAAGTTTAAGTCCCAGTGCTGAGTGAGTCCCCATATACACTTGCAGTTTAACACAACTTCCCTCCTCTGGGCATTCAAACATACCTGGTGACCTGAAAGGATGCTGTCCTACAGGCCCCTAGGGCCTCTGGCTCCAGGGCTCAGCCTCTGGAAGAACTCTACTCTCTGCCTTGCAGATGCCCCCTAATCCCACCCTACCCCCAAGTGCCTTCAGTTCTCTCACCCAGAGAGCTGAGGGCCTCCAAAGTCTCTCTCATGGCAACAGGGAGTAGCCCCTCCTGGGGACCAGGTCACAGACCCTAAGGAGAAAAGACTGCCGTCAGGTTCCTCCTGCCAGTTTCCACCTGGGTCTAGAATAGCAGCCACCATATAGAAGGTTGGGCAGGAAGCTCTGTCCAATCTCTCCCTCCTAGCTCTTCCCAGGAGCTCCAAAGGTGATGTCCCCAAACAGGTGAGGGAAATAAGGGAGTATGAATTTAAGAGCAGAGACCTTTAAAGATGGGGGGCCCAAGAAGAAAGGCTTGAAGCCATTTCTGCAAGCTCTGGTTGACTCTGGAAATCAGTTCACCCACCTACCCACCCTTGCCTGGCAGGTCTCTCCAGCCAGCCCCAGTTCATTGGCAGCCCCACCCCAAGCACACCCCAGTGTCCTTGCCTGGGGACTGGCAGGAACCATTCTCTGGGGAGAGGGTGGAGGGTGGGAAACCAGGGTGGGGAGTGGGAAACTTCATTTCCTGGGTCCTCCAGCTGTCACTGCAGGAGATGGTGAAACAGGAGCCAGCCGGCAGGGGAGGGAGTGTCAGTTTAGGACTAGGTGGGGGCTCCCCATCAGAGAAGAGTCCTTGTTAGAGGTAGGAAATGGTCTTGGCTTCTCCAAAAGCCCCTACTTCAAAACCACTCCCTTCCCCATGAGGCTGCTCTGTGCTAGGACACCCCCAGGCCAGAACACCCCTCCTGGCACCCCCTTCTCGGCTCTGTCCCCTGTGGGCCCCTCCCCCTCCCCCAGCAGGCTCCCCTCCCCCTCCCCCCCTGCAGCCTTCCCTCTATCCCTCCCCTCTCCCGGCTCCCTCTGCCTTCCGCCCTCTCTCCCCACCAAATCGGGTAGCCTCCTGGAGCCCCTCCCCCTGCCCCGCCCCTACGGCTCCGCCCCTGCCCGCACCGGCGGGGCCAACCCCTCACGGCCCCCTCCGGTCGGCCTGACGCCGCCACCGCCTCCCTGACCCTCCGCTCCGGGCAGTCTCCGGCAGCGCTCCGTTCCCCTCCCCCTCCCTGGGCTCCGGGCCGCCCTTCCCCGCCCGCCCGACTCTCCCCCGCTCCATCCCCCTCCTCGGCTGCACACTCTCTCCCTTCCTTCCCCCTCCTCTTTTCCTTCCTCCCCAGCGCCCGCCCTCCAGCTCTCAGCTGGTCTCCCCCACCCTGCTCGCCCCTCCCTTCCCCCTCTCCTCCCCCACTCTGGTTTCTCTTCCTCTCCTTTCCTCTCTTCACCTCGGTTCCCTCCCTCCACCCC